GNGNGCGGAGGGGAGGGAGAGGGAGAGAGAAAGGAGCGCATCGAGTCAGTCTGGATCATCTTGGAGCTCGAGCGCCGAGCGCCGTGCACCGTGCAGCCAGGCCAGGCCGGGCACGCCGACTCACCTTTCTCTTGATGCCCTTTGGCTTGGTCTCGCCGTCGAGGCGCTTGTCGAAGCGGCCCATGGAGGCGGTGCTGGTCCTGTTTCGCAGCACGTCGGCCTCGAGCTCGGCCTTTCGCTTCTGCCTCGCCGCGGCCTTTGCAATCTGGTCGGCCGATCCGCTGCCGAGGCCCGTCTTCTTGTTGGTCGGGCCGCCGAGGGTGTCGGTGGCCTTGGACGAGCTGGCCATCTCTGCGCGTGCGCGCGCCTCGTTTTTGAGGCGCTGGCTCTCGTTTTTGAGCTTGCGCGCCTTTCGCTCTCCGCGGGCGCGGGCGGCGGGGTCGGTGTCGGCATCTTCTCCCGACTTGAGGACGTGGATCCACTGGTCCTCTTCCTTTTTGTTGATTCCGCCGTATCCCCAGCGCGGGACCCACTCGCCGGTTGCCTCGTCGTAGACCATCTTGTCCTTTTTCTTTGAGCTGATTCCCTTTGCCTTTGCAAACTTTTCCCACTTTGTGAGGGGCTTGGGCTTGGGCATGCTCTTTTCGCGCGGGAGGCGGGTGGTGAAGCGGGGCAGGGCGGCGAGGGGCCCATGGTCCGGGTGTCGCGATACGGGCAGCTGGAAGATGTGGTTGATGAGGGCCTGTGTTGCGTTGCGCGCGCGCGAGCATAGGTAGGCTTCGCGGTCGGTGTTGTAGCTCTTTGTGAGCGGGTTTACGTCGAAGGACGAGAGGAGGCCGACGTCGAGGGTGATTGGGGTGTTGCCGTGCTCGACGGTGGTGGGCTTGTACTTTGATGCGGCTGCGGCTGCGAGTGCGGTGCCGTCGAGGGTGTCGGAGGGCGCCACGACCGTCGTCGTGGTCGTGGACGCTGTGGTTGCAGTGGCGGCCGACATGGCTGCGGTGGTGGCGGTGGTGGCGGTGGCGTGTGGCAGCAGGGGTTGGTGGTTAGATGCTGAGTGGTGGGTGTGATGCTGGTGCTGATGTCGAGAAGGGAGGCCAGGCAGGGTGGTGGTGATGGTGGTAGCCGGTGTCGCGCCGTGGGGATGGCGTGGGGCTGCAGCCAGTAGAGAGAGAGGCGAGCGTCGGGCGAGGAAGTTTTCGACAGAGAGCGGTGTGGCCCCCGGACCTGCTGGGCGGCGCACTGAAATTTTTCCTAGGCGGGCGCGGCTCCAAAGGTGGATCGCTGGCCCGACTCCCGAGTTTGGCCACCCCGAACCCGAGGGTCGACGGGCCGGGCTGCCCTGTGCGGCGAGGTGTGCGGTGCGCTGCATTTCTCGCAGCGTTGGCGAGGGTCCTGGCAGCGGCGAGCAGCTGCAACGGCCGCCGGCCAAACGACGCTAAGCCACGTACGCTGGCGAGCTCGCGTCGATCCTCACTTTGCCTGGCCTGCCAGGCTTGCTCAGCTACAGACGTCGCTGGCCGGCCCCTCGCCAAGCACAACCCCCAAGCTAAAGGTCGGCACAGACGCCCGCAACGCGTCCAACACCTTGCACGCCAAAGGCCAGGCCTGCCAACCGTTGCATCCAGCGCCCCCGACGCCGCCGCCGCCGCAAATGTCCATCTGGCACGCCGCACCTCGTACATCGGCATCGAAATGAGCGAGGGTGGGCCCTTTTGCCTCGACGCTTGACCAGCCTCGCTTCACCGCCGACACCTCAAAGCACAGGCCGCGACGGCCCCCCATCAGAGCGGCGAGCTTGAGGATGACGTCTCGCTGCCACGCCCTCGCCCTCGACCACCACCCGCGCACCCCTCCTGATCCTGCCCCTCGTCCTCGTCGTCCTTGTTGTCCTCCTCTTTCCCTCTCACCACCACCACAACCACCACCGTCCTTGTCTGCCAGGTGGCTGACGCTTCCGACCCCTCCTTTCGACCCCGCATCCCTTCTACACCCTCTTCCACCATGACGCGCCCTACCCTGGCCTGGAGCTGGGCAGTCGCACTCGCAGCCATCTCGCTCTCGGTGCTGCCCGACGCCGCTGCCCTGCCATCCCCCGCTTCCCTCGGCACCGGCCTCCGCTTCCTCTACCAAAACGACCTCGACTGGCAGAGGGCCGCAGACGCCCCAAGGCGTCAGCCCGGCTACATCCTCCTCACCGAACCCCTCTCCCAGCCAACGGCAGACTCGGACTGCAGGGCCATTGGCGAATCCCTCGCCCCCATCGATCCAAACAACCTCGACCCGGGCCTCGAGTCCCAGCTCACCTACCAGATCCACGACGGCGCCTACCCCGCACAGCAGCGCTTCTGGGTCTCAGCCGGCAACGCAGTCTCCCTCTCGGCTTCCAGCAAGCTCGAAGTCGTACCTGACGCCAACAAGCCAAGCCCAGACACGCGCCTCCCCGCCATCTGCACCCAGTCTGCGCCCTGGAACCACGCCAACTCGACAGACACCAGCGCAAGGTGGCAGCTCAGCGCAAACTACGGCCACCTCGACTTCCAAGGCTACCGCGACGCCCTCTCGTTCCGTTTCCTCGGCGTGCCCTACGCCAACCCCACCGAGCGCTTCGCCTACTCGACCGTCTACGACAACGCCAAACAGGCAAGCATCCCGTGCCAGCTCGAGGGCCGCTCCAACCAGTGCCCGCAGACGGCCGGCACCGACAAGCCGTACACCGAGCAGTGCCTCGTCACCAGCATCTTCACCCCCTACCTCCCCACCCGCTCCCAGGTCGCCAAGCGCCAACACCTCCGCCCCATCCTCCTCTGGATCCACGGCGGAGGCTACACCAGCGGCAGCGGCCTCGACTTTACCTTTGACGGCGGCAACCTCGCCAGCCGATCCGACATCGTCGTCCTCACCACAAACTACCGCCTCGGCGCGCTCGGCCACCTGGCCTACAACGACCAGATCCGCGGCAACTACGGCCTCGGCGACCTCGTCACCGTCCTCAAGTGGATCCAAAATTATGGTCCCACGTTTGGCGGCGACCCGGCCCAGGTCACCATCGCAGGCCAGTCGGCCGGCGCCCAGCATGTCGAGCACCTGCTCGCCTCGCCCGCCGCCGCCGGACTGTTCCACCGCGCCATTGTCATGAGCGGCCAGGGACAAGACGCCAACACCGTCAACCCCACCATCGAATCGGCCAGGAGCAACAAGACGCAGGCCATCATCGACAAGGTCGGATGCGGTGGCGGCGGCGGCGACGACGCCGCCCTTCTCGACTGCCTGCGGCGCGTCGACGTCGCCACCTGGCTGGGCAACCCGTACACGGGCACCGTCCAGGACGGCACCTACATCGACTCGCCCCGCCTCGACATGCGCAGCGCCGACCGGGCCACGGGCCACGTCAACCGCGTACCCGTCGTGTGGGGCCACATGCGCGACGAGCGCGGCTCGCTGGGCCGCGTGCCCCCCGCCAGCGAGACTGACCTGCGCAAGGCCCTGACGTTTGCCGGCATCTCGGCGGCCAACCAGGACCTCGTCGTCAACGACCCCGTCGCCTTCCCCGTCGACGCCTACGGCGTCCAGAACCTGACCGTCACCGTCGACACCGACTACACGTACGCGTGCGGCATTGAGGCCATGGCGTACGCCTCGGCGGCCAACGGCGTGTTCCCTCGCACCTATGCCTACGTCTACGACCAGCGTGCGTTCCAGATCCCCAACTACGACCCCAACGCCGTGTGCCAGCCGCGCGACGGACGACCCTCGTCGGGCGACTACTACTACTGCCACTCGGGCGACCTAATGACGGTGTTTGGCACCGCCGGCAGCGCCTTCCGGCTGCCTTACCGCGACGACGAGGATCTGGCGTGGGTCACGCTCATCGTCGACCAAGTCTCGGCGTTCGTGCGGACCGGGTACGCCGCGCCGTCCAAGGCATACCTCGAGGCACGCGGACGTGAGTACGCCCTCACGCTGGACCGGGCTACGAAGGGTGAGAGCCGCTGGACCTCGGTCGATTCGACCGGCAGCGGAGGTGGCGGGTACCGCGCCATGAGCTTTGGGCCGATGCAGAAGATGACGGGCCTTGCTCGCCCGCTCCGACAGTGCAAGGTGCTAGGTAAGTCGTTGCCCTACATTGCCAAGCTGTGATGTCGTCGTCGTCGTCGTCGGTGTCGCTGCCCGGGTATCCTTTTGCATCTATCCACTCGCTCTGCTCTACACACCGCTGTCTATGGTCTAGTTTCTGAGTATCTTTATTTTGGTAGATGTCGAATGTCGACTTCAAAAGCGTTTTCCCCTTTGTGGGATGGGTTGGAGGGCAGGAATCTGCAGCCAGGAGGGCCGGGCCTTTCTCGTGTCGTGCCGTCTCGGAGGGGAGGGCGTGCACGGATCAAGCGGCAAAGCCCAGCCTGCCTCGTTTAGGTTAGGCGCCTTTTTTCGTCTAGCGGTTCCACCGCGGCGCGGCGAACGTTACCCCGCATTTTGCTGTTGGGTGCGTTCATGCAACACCGTTGGCTTAACGCCGTCCGTCCGGCCGGCCGTTGTACCTTACCTCCGATACATGGTGGCCGTATCCCCGTCCCTCCCCCTTTCTCGCCGAGGCGGTGCTGGCATCGCATCGGAACGGAGCGTCGTTGACGACAAGGGGCGGGGGAGAGGGGGGAAAATGGAAGAGGGAAGGCTGGCCGTGATTGCCGATCCATGCTATGTCGCGCCGGCACCCACCGCTAGGACCAGAAGGTATATATCGCTGGCCGATCGAGGTCGAGGTCGAGGTCGAGGTCGGGAGCTTGGTTACCCTTCTCTCTTCTCCACCTCGTTTGCCACCTCTGCTTCGCCCCTCTTCGACCGTATTGGTCTCGAGCTGGAATCCTGCTTCGCACATCGCTCGATCCGTCTCCACCCCTCGTCGCCTCGCACCGCCCCGCCTCGCCCCGCCCTCCGACGACGTTGGACGCGCTGCCGCCTTTCTCACGGACGGACCACCTTAGCCACCGCCCCGAACCACCACCACCACCACCACCACCACCACCACCACCGCCACCACCGCCACCGCCGCCGGCACCGCCGCTACGATGACCTCTTCAACGATCACCACGTCCTCAGACGCAACCATGCCAGCCCCGCCCACGCCCACGCCCGCCGCGACACACTCCAAGGTGGACCTACTCATCATCGGGGCGGGACCCGCGGGTCTGATGGCAGCCAACTGGGCCGTATCGCTGGGCTGCCGCAGCGTGCGCGTGGTAGACAAGCGCAACACCAAGATCTTTACGGGCCAAGCCGACGGACTACAGTGTCGCACACTCGAGGTGCTGCACTCGTTTGGCATGGCCCAGGACATAGTGCGGCAGTCGAACCACATGCTCGAAGTGTGTTTCTGGAACCCCGTCGACGGCACCCTGCGCCGTACGGGTCGCATCCCGGATACCATCCCCGGAATCAGTCGGTGGCAGCAGGTCGTGCTTCACCAGGGTCGCATCGAGAGGGCGTTCCTGGATCGCATCCACGCCCAGTCGCACGGAGAGGTCCAAGTGGAGAGGGCAAAGCTGCCAGAGCGCCTCGACGTCGATACCGACTTGGTCGAGTCGACCCATCCCGACGTCTACCCCGTCCGCGTGCAGGTGCGCCAGCTGAGCGAGGATGAGGCCACGCCCAGCCAGATGGGAAAGAGCACGCCCAACGGCCTCTTTCGCAGCGCCCTCGCCCCCGACGACACCCCCGAGCTCCTCTCATCCTCCTCCTCGTCCGTAAGCGGCACCAAGGCCGGCGCCGTCGGGTCGCGCCAAGTCATCCACGCAAAGTACGTCATCGGGTGCGATGGCGCCCATTCGTGGACGCGCAAGCAGATGGGCATCGACATGGCCGGCGAGCAGACCGACTACATCTGGGGCGTCCTCGACGCCGTGCCCGTCACCGACTTTCCGGACATCCGCATGCGCTGCGCCATCCACTCGGCCAACGACGGCTCCGTCATGATTATCCCGCGCGAAGACGGCCTGGTGCGCTTCTACATCCAGATCAGCTCGACGTCCGACGGCGCTGCCGACGCCGCAACCAAGGTGGACCGCCACAATATCACGTGGCAGCGCATCCTCAAGGCGGCTCAGACCATCATCAAGCCCTACCGCCTCGAGATTAGCGAGCGCGACCTCCACTGGTGGACGGCCTACCAGATCGGCCAGCGCGTCGCCTCGGGCTTTTCGCTCCACGACCGCGTCTTCATCGCCGGCGACGCCTGCCACACCCACAGCCCAAAGGCGGGCCAGGGCATGAACGTCAGCATGATGGACACCTACAACCTCGTCTGGAAGGTGGCCAAGGTGCTGCAGCGCCAGTCGCCCCGCTCCATCCTGCCCACCTACCAGGCCGAGCGCCGCCGCGTCGCCCAGGAGCTCATCGCCTTCGACCACCGCTTCTCGCGCCTGTTTAGCGGCAAGCCCCAGGCGGCCGAGGACGCCGCGAGGGAGGCCGGCGTCGACCTGGCCGAGTTCCGCAACGTCTTCGCAAAGGGCAACCGCTTCGCCTCGGGCACCGCCGTCGAGTACGGTCCCAGCCTCCTCGTCGGCCGCGGTGGGGACGCGACAGAGCTCGGCGACGGCACCGACGTCGTGGGTCCGGGCGCCCTGTCGCGGCCCGAGCTCAGCGCCGAGGGATGCGGCGAGTCGCGCATCGTCGTCGGCCAGCGCCTCAACACGGCCCAGGTCGTGTGCGTCGCGGATGCGCGGCCGTGGCAGCTGGTCGACTGGCTCCCCTCGGACGGGCGCTGGCGCCTCCTCCTCTTCTGCGGCAACCTCGTCGACGCCGCGCAGCGCCCGCGCATCGAGGCCTTTGCACGCTACCTCGAAACGCAGCTCCTCCCGCGCTACACGCCGGCGCGCCACGACGTCGATTCGGTCATCGACTGCCTCACCATCTCGTCGACGCCCCGCACCGCCTGCGAGCTGTCCGACTACCCCGCCATCCTGCACCCCCTGACGACCAAGTGGCACCGTCCCGGATCCGCCAGTGCCGCCGCCGGCGACGTCGGCGAGGCCCGCGCAAAGTCGCAGGACTACTGGAAGATCTTCTGCGACGACGAGAGCTACCACGCCGGCCATGGCCGTGCGTACGAAAAGTACGGCATCGATGCGCAGCGCGGCGCCGTCGTCGTCGCCCGCCCCGATGGCTACGTGTCGCTGCTCGTGGCCCTCGACGACGTGGACCGCATCGACGCCTTTTTCGACAAGTGCATGCTGCCCGCCGAGATGCACCTGCCCTTTGCTTCCAGGGACAAGCCGAGCGGCGCCGTCGATGGGGCTGAGACGAAGGGCGTCCCGCCTGTTCCGTCAAAGGAAGCGGGAGAGGTGGCACAGGCCCTGTAGGATAATTGGCTTGTCGATGTGTATCGGTTGGCTGGCCTGTGGACTGTCGCCGTCGACGTACCCGTCTGTCAGTAGCAGCAGAAATTGGAAGCCGACATCATGGAACTCGGTGGCTCGGCTGCGATTCGGTCAGTCGCCAGCGCGCAGCAGGACAGAATCGGACGGTCCACGCCGTGTCGGAGGATGCTGGAGGGGCGATGGTAATTCGCTCTAGTATCGGATTGCGTGGGGAATGAATGCTGCGAGTGAGTGTCAAAGGGAGCCGTCAATCATGGAGAAAGCCGCAGCGGTCTGTCGTGGTTGTGGGAGACCCTTCGTAATCTTGGTCGTCAAAGGCGAGAGCCGGATCACTTCTTCTTGGGCCCACCGAGAGGCGCGCCGATGTCCTTGCCTGGAGAGACGAGAGGAGATCATAGAGGGAGAGAAGGGTACCAAGTCAGGATGGGCCCGTCGCACAGTAATGGCATCCGGTGCAGCGGCAACAACGACGACTCCTCACCTCGCAGCTTCACGCCAAGGACCCGCTCCATCTTTCCGAGGATCTGCGGGTTAGGGATGGCCTTGCCGCTCTCGTACTCGGCGATGACCTGGGGCTTTTCCATTATCTTTGTGCCGAGGTCCTTTTGGGTGAGGTTGAGCGCCTGCCTGCCCTGCTGGATGGCCTTTCCGACGCTGGGCGCCACCTTGGGCGGCGGGGCCACCTCGTTTTCGCGGTCGAGCTTGGCGATGCGCTGGTGGTCGGGGCCCTGGACGTTCTTGTTGGTGCCCGCCGACGTCTTGCGGTCGTTTTCCGTAATGGCGCCGACGGCCTTGGCGCGCTCGTAGGCCGTCGGGCCGGCGCGGGCGCCGCCGGATCCTGCGGGCCGCACCGACTTGCCGATGACGGTCTTGCTGTCCCAGTCGGTGTTCATCGTGAAGGCGGTTGGGGTGGTTGGGTGGAGCTGGAGGAGGATGTGAGGAGTTGGCGTGGAGCGAAGCTGCGGCGGGCAAGAGGTCGGGAAGGAAGAAGACGGGCAAGTTCAGTCAGCGATGGGCACTCGATGGCGTTGAGTGGCGTCTGGCAGCGCAGGCCCCCGACTGCCCGACGGCCCAGCTTGCCAACGAGGTGGTCAAGGCGGGCACCGGTGCTAGGCTGCTACCGACGCCAGCTGAGCACTCACGTTTCGCGGGTGTTGAAGCTACGGTGCGGCGTGTGGCGGTTGTGAGCGAGCTGTGCGCGGTGGGTTGCTTGCGTAGATGCGAAGGATACTGGTGGTGGTGCTAGCGATGGCGATGGCGATGGTGATGGTGGTGGCGTTGAATGGTGAGCTCGCTGCCCGGCTGGAGGGCCCGAGGGCGAGGCTGAGCCCGGCGGGCGAGTCGAGCCACCCCCCTGGCGCAGCCAGCCGGGGCTTCTTCCTCTTCGCCCGTGGCCGGGCCATTCCATCATGAGCCCATCAGCCAGCCAGCTGAGCAGCTCCACCTGTTCTGTGGGCCTCTGCTCCCCGCTGGCCCGCCCCTGGCCTCTGACATCAGATTGCCTGCTTACGTAATTTCTTCTCTTCGCCGCTGCTCGATGATCACACGAGCGCCGCGCAGCGACCCACTCTTCCGTCGTTCGGCCTGCTTCTCCTGCCTTCCCTCGGCGCCCTCCCTCTCGCCCGAGAAAAAACCCTGCCTTGCTCCCACTCATCCCTCAACTCTTCGACCCCGCCTCGTCCCTTCGACGACCACGACGACAACGACGCAAGCCACACAAACACTCCCCGACGCTCGCCGCACCTCGATGTCAGGCTAGAATTAACCGTAATAGCGGTATAAATTAGCACCGCCCTTCTCACCCACCGAGGGATGGGTGTCGAGAAAGGTGTTTCCCCGGGCGAGCGAGCCAACGAGAGAGAATAGTGTGAGGTGTGGCCTGGTGACGATGATGCCCCGTGACAGGAGGAGAAGAGACTGGAGAGAGAGAGAGAGAGAGAGAGAGAGAGAGAGAGAGAGAGAGAGAGAGAGAGAGAGAGAGAGAGAGAGAGAGAGAGAGAGAGAGAGAGAGAGAGAGAGAGAGAGAGAGAGAGAGAGAGAGAGAGAGAGAGAGAGAGAGAGAGAGAGAGAGACGAGAGACGAGAGAGACGAGACGAGACGGAGACGAAGAGAGACGAAGAGAGTAGAACGAGAGAGTAACGAGAACGGAGAACGAGACGAGAGAC